ATAATTCAAACAAAAAACATGTTTTGGTACCAGGCTGTAAACTTGTTTATTTCTGCTGTGAAATTGGTATTTTTAACATGGGAGTCAATGAGGATTTGCTCGCTTCTGACACCAGCCCCCAGCGGATGAGGGTGGAACTGCAATTTATTTCATTTCCGCGTTTGCTTCAATTTATCACCCACATTGTGGGGGCCTGGTCACACGTCACGTGATCAGGAAGCAGAAAATCCATGTGTTAGGAGATAGTTTTGGGCCGCTGCTGCAAAAAAAGTGAGGCGCGAACCGGAAAAGCTTCTGCCGATCACAATTCAACAACGGATTATGAAAGAACGGATAAAGCTCAAAACGCACGGATTCTTCTTGATGTAAGAGGTGAGTCTCTGCTTTGTATTGGTTGTTTTGATGTTGACATCATCCTAGCGTGCAACGTTCTGTGACTCGTAAAAATGGTGCCCGGGTTAAACCCCAACACACAGGCAGAGAGTCTTGGGGCTAACAAAAAGCCAAGCCCAGCCTTCCGCCTCTCATCCGGAGCAACTCCAGTAAAGGAGAGTGTCCAACCCCTCTCAAACACTTGGGTTCCAGAGCCAATGCTATGTGTCGAGGTGAGTCTGACTATATCTAGCCGGTACCGCTCAACCTCTGCCACAAGCTCCTGCTTCTTCCCCGCCAGCGAGGTGACGTTCCATGTCCCAAAAACCAGTTTCCTTGTCCGGGGATTGGACCGCCAAGGCTCCCGCCTCGGTCTGCCACCCGATCCACATTGCATCAGACCCTTCCTGATCCTCCTGCAGGTGGTGGGTCCACAGTTGGATGAGCCCATGTATCTGGTTCGGGCTGGGCCCGGCCGGGCCCCATGGGCGAAAGCCCGACCACCAGGCGCTCGCTCATGGGCCCCAACCCCAGGCCTGGCTCCAGGGTGGGACCCCGGTAACCCTCCGGGCCGGGTACTCTGACTCTTTGCTTGTACATCCATGAAAGATCCACCTTTAAGTTGATTTTTTAAAATTATACATGTATCTGTTTTACATTCGTAAGAAAAGCATGGTTATTCCATCTTGTAATTATTGAGTCAGTCATTGACTAATCCTTGTAACTTTTTTGCCTTTGCAGTGTCTCGTGCTGCAATAAGCACCTCCTGAACTGACCTGATCTGTGTCCAAAATTTGCTCAGCCACAGTTAATCTTTTAAATGATCTAATCTGCAGCTCATCTTCTGGCCTGGACCTTCAACGTGACACTAAAATATGACTGATTTCAGATCACTTAGACCTGTATTAGGACAGCATCTTATTAAGGGTCATTGCATACACCATTGTGTGTACGTGCTCATGTGTGGGAGGAGAAGATGGGACAGACAGGCAGCAGTCTGTAGGACAACCATCTCTCTGTTGAAGTGTTTCACAGCTCATCTCTGCCCTGTTACAGGCCAGGTGTCACAGCTGCTTTCAGATTTCATTGCAGAGATGCTCTCTCCATCCTCTCCATTTCATCTCTGGGTTTTTCTGCACCCTTAAGTTCATTTTTAAAGTTTAAAGGCCAAGAATGCATCCATGCAAGCCAGACTTACCCGCGTAACCTCCCGAGGCTATCACCCTTTCTGAAAGATGTTAACCTCTTAGTTGTTGTTTTAACTTTATTTTCTCTTCTTTCCTCATCTGGACCTTTGTCTGTAAGAAATTATTTGAAGATTATTCATTCACAGATTAATCACTCCTTATATAGTTGTGCTTGTTCATGTTTTTCCTCTTTTCTCCCCTTTGGGATTTATGTTGTCTTACAAATTAAAGGTGCAGTTAGAACAAATTCTTATGTGAAATAATCACAAAACAGTTTAATATGTCAGTTATGTTGGAAGGCAGGGTGCACTGAAACAGATTTAATTCTCAGCCAGCTGAGGGAGGGGCTGTCCATCTTTCTCCTTACACAAAAAAACTAAAGAGGGATGCAGTTACTGTTACCCTCTGTGAGTTTGTGAGCTAACACAGCAGCGCAGGCATTTGTAATTCAACACTGACTGGCACAAAGCTCCAGAGTTGTTTAAAGAATCAAAGCCAGTAAACAGGAGCGACCCAGAAGTTATTTGTTGTTCCCCTAAGAAGCCACAGCATCTTTTGTTTTATTCTAATATTGGGTGAAGAAGGCTATAGGCAAGCATTAAGCTTACAATGCTAACAGTGAATTAGAAGCAAAAGTCGGCTCTAAAAATATCTCAAGCTACTTTTTCATTTACCACTCAATATAACTGTGAAATGTATGTGTGAAGTGACACACGTGGCATTTTATTTCCTTTAATGAGTCGTTCAGAACTATAATCGCAAGCTAACAGCAAGATAGCAAACAGCAACACTTCCTCTAATGCCGGAGGCACATTACCATAAGTGTAGAAAATGCTCCCTACTGTAAAACAACCAAGTGTGCTAGCACCAACTATGACAATGTATTCATCCACGTTCAACTTGCTGTGTCTGACTCGTCTTTGCCTGTCATCTAGAATCTTCTGATGCTGATCCGTAAATGACAACAGCCATGAAACTCAAGGAACGGCAGTGAGAGGGTGATCATTTTGCACTAAAATATGGGATGCAGTAACCACATTTGACCACAGGATGTACTTTTTACAAGTTGCACCTTTAACTATATATTTTTTATGTAAAAGAAATTTCTTACAAGAAACTTTTTATTTTTTACCTTACATCAGTGTGTAGAAAATCATAAAGGAATTTCAAGATTTGTTTACTAAGACAAGGAATGTTAGTTTTAATGACATTACTGATTATTCTAAACTGGGCTACACTGCCTTTTATTTGATTAAAGATAAGCAGAAGATTCAGTTACAATAAGTAATAAAATGTCATTTAGCATCTTTTCTTTCTCTCGGTTTCTGTCTTGAGTTGTAACAGATGCTCTTTGGTGCTTTTATCTCAAGTGTAGCATCATGAATGTCCTGTTTGTGACCTAAAGGTCATGATCTGCTGTGTCTGCTCGAGCAGAGACATAAAGTATCTGACAGGCAAATCTACATGAGATGGTGGCCAAGGTCTTTCATGCACTCTGCTCATCTGAACTGCTTCACCTCTGTCAGCAAAGACAAGAACTATTTTGAAAAATACATAATCAACAACTTTGTTAATTACCAATAATGTGAGCCCAATGTTCAATCAATCTGTGAAATGACAATGTTATTACTTGATATTATAATCATGTGATCAGTAGTATTTTACAAGTCATTATAATCTTGGACATTTGCACTAGACACGTAATGTTAAAGTCACACGACACATTTCCTTTTGTCTGACCCAATCAGAACCTTCGTTTCTGAAGCGAGGCATGGTTTTCTGTGGTGTTTGTATAAACCCTCTTTTGCATGTCAAATTCTGATTCGCCAGTAAACCAAAATATGACAATTATAAAAACTATTCCACGCCACCTTTTCGTTAGTTCAAGCATTCTGGAGAAGTCTCGGACGGGCCATCCGGACTTCCTCTTCAACCAAAAGAACCTCGACAAGCTGGATAAAATCTGTTGCAAGTTACAACTGACCGCAACGGTTCCTTCAGAATAAAAGCTGAACCTCACGACCCCTTCAGGGTCTCGGAGATGCCAGTGATAACCTGTCGTGACCTGGAAGCATTTCAAGACTAGTTTGGTCGGCACCGCTGCTTTTCTACTGGCTTCGGTACCAAAGAGGGTCCACGAGGACCTCGGCATTCTGGATCTGATCAGAGGCTTCCCCTGGGTACGTAGACCGACAGATGGCATTTCATGTGTGTTATAAATCTCCTACTAAAGTTTAGAGCGAAACATTCGCTCCCACTCAGAACTAACTGCTTCTCCGGATCCGCTGGTTCTGATAATAGCATTCCACACACACCATCATCATTCATCACGTCTCACTCCACCTTAGTCCATCAGTACACAGAGTGTTAAAGTTAGTCTTGTTTAAATTATGTGTCACGTTTAGGAGCAGGAGGTTAGGACCCAAGATGCAGAACCCAGGATGACACAAGGCAGGAGTGGATATGTAAAGTAAAAATCCTTTATTTTGAGGAAGAACAAAAATAAATCCAAATGGCAGTGAGCCAAAAAACAACACCAGAGGAACGAGCAGACTGAACAGAACAAATAACGCTGACAAACAACAATGGACCAACAAGAACAATGAGACAAGGAGGGCTTATATAGACAGGGAGGAGCAATTAGGGAAACAGGAAGCAGGTGTGCGGAGTGAGCTGCTGGAGGAAAGGCAGGTGACAGCAATTATCTGGATGGGGAAGAGGACCGGTGGAGGGCAGATAAACCTAACACTATATAAAACACAAAACTAAACCTAAAGACTAAGGGAAGAACTCACACAAACACATACACATACTGACACACACAAACTCATACACACATACAATGAACTGGGGAACAAGAGGCTGGGGCTACAACTTAAGACACACAACAGAGATGCAGACAAAGGACACATGAGGGCGCCAAGAGAACACAAAAGGCAATCCAGAGAGGGATGGAGAAACATTAGGAGACACATGGGGAAAGATGCAGACAAAGGACACATGAGGGTGCTATGAGACACAAAAGGGGAATCTAAAGAGGGATGGAGGACATAAGGAGACACATGGGGAAGACACAGATGCAGACCATGACATTATGTAGAATTAAATTTCTTAACTATTTTAAACCTGACTCTCTTTCCTTGGAGTTAATACAAAGTGTCGCTTAATCCCTACAATAAAGTTCCGATCTTCTGGTTAAAATAGTCAAAGATCCATCAGATTGATATTTCATATTTCTATGGAAACTCACATTTTATGGTTCATAAATAAGATGTAAATGACTCATTCTTTACACAAGTTCCCTAGTCCAAAGTTTTGCTCTCAGCTACATCATTTTAACAGGGAAGTAAACATTGGATATGACATCTAATTAATTTAACACCTTTGTGTCCTACATCTGCTTGTTTTATGTGACAGCTGCTTTCCTTCTTTACTCTTTAGGGTGCAGGTTGAGTTTTATGTGAATGAAAACACCTTCAAGGAGCGTCTGAAGCTCTTCTTCATCAAAAACCAAAGATCAAGTGAGTGGATGGTGCTGCAGGTCTCTTAAAATCACATTAATTAAAGGCTCAGTTCAAAACGGGAAAAATTAAAGCCAACTTAAAATGTTCATTTCAATGAGAACCAGATCTTTAATAAAAAGATCTTAATGAAGTCATGGTCTTGTGCATTTGTCTGGTCTATCCCTCTTTCATCCTCAGGTCTCAGGATTCGTGTGTTTAACTTCTGCCTGAAGCTGCTCACCTGCTTGTTGTACATCATCAGAGTGATGACAGACAGGCCCGGCCAGGGCAGCGGTGGCAGCCACGCTGCTGCTCAACAGAGCACTACGAACGGGAACAACAAATGGTTTGTTGACACAAACAGAAAAGTGGAAAAGCTCTGAGTTGAGTGCATTGTTACACAGACATCTCTCACTAGACACCACGTACAGAGGCAACAAAAGAACAATAGCAATGAATGGCTGTTGAACTGGAGGACAGGATGGCACCAAACTGGTATTTTATTGTGGGACAGGTCTCTGTTGGTGAAAGGACTCTTTAAAGTCACAAACTGTTCAATGCAAGTTCATTAATGATAAACTTTGTTTCTAACAAAACGTCATGAAATGGTAAATGGAGGCTGTCTGGAACAATGACCTGTATTTCTTAAAGCGTCTTGGGGTTCTGCAACCCCCCAAGGCGCTTCGTAACACAATCAGTCATCCACACATTCACACACTGGTGATGATGAGGTACAATGTAGCCACAGCTGCTTTGAGGTGCGCTGATGGAAGTGAGGCTGCCAAACACAGGCGGCACCAGTCCCTCCAACCACCACCAGCAGGCAAGGCGGGTTAAGTGTCTTGCCCTAAGACACAACAGCAGCATTCTCTGGTCAGAGCTGGGATTGAACTTGCAACCTTCCAATTGCTGGACAACCCGCTTTACCTCCTGAGTTTCTGCTGACTCATCTTGAGAGATCAGATCATTTCCAGGGAGGACGGTGTTGCAGGTTCTGCATCCCGAGCTGAAAACAAAGAAAAGGAAAAACGAACTGAATCTGTCATTAAATTGAAATAATGACAATTTGAATACAGCAAGATAAAAACACATGAATATTCAACTGTTAAAAAGCAAGATAGGGATTTTTTGAGACAGGGATGCTCGATATCAACTTTTGTACTAATATCCGATTTATTAATACAATTTAACTCTTAATTTCCAATACTAAGATAAATCAATACAAATGACATGACACACTGAATCTGTCATATTTTTTATTTTGAGTGAGAGGAGAAATATCTGATGAGTTTGATGTGTGATATGCGCCATTAAAAGAGTAAAAACTGATCCCAATCATTTCCAATATTACACTTTAACACCAATATCAGGTGTCCCTATTTGAACCCTTATGGATGTGGAGGGCAGTGAGAATTTATGTGAAGAAGATGTTCAAATCACCATAAATCACATTTATGAAAGCCTGCAGAGTTTCAATGACTTAGTCGCCTTAACAGATGAACTTTACTTCCTGGGAAACTAAAGATCATTGCTTTTATTCTTTATTAATTTTCCATGTTTCTTTCTTTCTTTGGTTTTGTTTCTTTACTATTATGTTGCAGCATTGATTGCCTGCTGAATGGATCAGTGCAGGATCGAGAAATTCACTGGTGAGCAGAAAGAAATGTGACAATTTAGCATCAGTCATTTATTATCATATATATTTGTGCAGGGAAACGCTCAGCAGTTTGATGGTGTGTTTTTTTGTTAGGGAGTTGATCTTTTGGGTGGATAGGAAGGCTCCTGTCTGGGCCATTCAAGTGAGTCACCTCAAGAAATAATGAATAAGAAATTGTCCCAAGATGCAGCAGTTGTAATTCATTTGCTTGTTATGTCTATTGTGCACAGGTGATTGTTGCCATCATTAGTTTCCTGGAGACGATGTTACTGATGTACCTGAGCTACAAGGTGAGGCGAAAACACACAAAAATTTGCAGAAATCCAGCATGATTAACGCATTCTGTACAACTAATCGTTTTTCCACGTGTTAGAGTGACAATCCATAAGCGGTGTAATTAGCTGGAGTCATTTGTCACATCAACATTAAAGATCGATGGTAATTACAGGGTCTGTTTGAGGTGAGGAAGTAAGTGGTTGCTGAATCTGACAGGCTACATGAAAAAAGAAGGAATCAGCGCCATGACTCATTATCTATTGTGTGTTTCTGGATAAGACTGTGAAATGGTTGTGCTTGAGAGTTGAATTGAGAACAACTGGACTTTTCTTGTTATCTTGAAGATGTTTGGCCTCTCATCCACAGAAGCTTCTTCAGTTCTAAAGCTTGGGTTGGGAGTAAGAGACGTAGCGGTCGTGATGGTTGTTTTTGTTTTTACTTCTAGGGGAACATCTGGGAGCAGATTTTTCAGGTGTCCTTTCTCTTGGAGATGATCAACACCGTTCCTTTTATTATAACGGTAAGTTTTTACCTTGAATACACACTCAATGGCCACGTTAATCGGTACAACTTACTATTATTAAGCTCTAGTGTAGCATAACACCCCCCCCCCCCCCCCCTCATGACAGATGGTGGTTTCTGCAATAGACCAGACTCTGTGGTCACCTAAATCTAATTTCTCACACTATCTAATCTATCTTTAAAAAGTAACCTTCTCCCCATCTAGATATCTAAATGCTGTGAGTTGCTGCTGTGAAATTAGCTAATTAGCCATTGGATGTGTGTGATAAGGTTTGTGGGGAGGTTATATTTGTTTGTGCAAATGGCCATGAAAACATGAAATAAACCCATTCATCCATTCCCTGACAGTGTTTTGATTTAGGAATTTTATGGCTAAAACAAGATGCTTAAAAAGTCCCTGTTTGTGATGTCACAAATGGGGAAATTAGCTTAGAACACTACTCACGTCTCCAGGCTAAGGGAGAAGCAGCTCTTCTGTGAGCTCCTCCTAGGAATCAAAGCTTCTCAGCTTATAGCAACCTGAATGAGGGAGTGGTGGGCGTGGCCAGCTCCAATTTGCTTTCTTAACATGACAGAGACCTGAAACGACTCATTCTGGAAGGTACTGAAACTGTCAAGAATAAAACTGTCAAGAATGAAACTGCTGAAGTTGCTTTTTGAGAGATGGATTCAGTGAAAAGAATGTCATTAACACCTTTTTTATTGACCAAAAAACAATTATAACTTAAGAATGAAGTCCTACGTCCCCTTTAAATGAATGCCTTACAATTAAATATCAGCATAATAGAAGTGACAGGAATCCATTAGAACATGAAAGCTGATTAGCATGGAGAAGCGTGGGCCTGTTCTGTAATGTGGACAGGTCTTTGTGCATCCTTTACCTGATGAGGAAGAGATGGTTGCAGGGCCAGAGGCTCCATGGCAACTAGGATTCCTGAAGGGGTTATTGTACATCTGCCACACAAAACAACTATTCAGACATGTTTTGATGTCCTGAGTGGTTCAAGGTGTTAATTTTGGCTTCAAATTCCTCAAACCACAATCCAATGATTCAACTGTTACATAATATAAATAATACTTGCTGGAAAAGCGAGGCCGTATTGTATTCCCTCATTTGTAACATACAATTCTTAAGCCTTGTTTAATGGCTCATCTTTTTGTATATGAAAAAGTAAACCTTAATCAATTATCAATGTAGTTTTTAACATCTGTCAAAGCAGCAGCCATAAAAATGACTGGAAGCAACAATTCTTATCAAACAAACTCTAAAAATTATATCTCAAGTATCACATGAACTTTCTTTTCTCTCGTTTTTGTCTTTTACTTAACTTTCAGATCTTCTGGCCGTCGATAAGAAACATCTTCATCCCCGTGTTTCTCAACTGCTGGCTGGCTAAATGTGCTTTGGAGAATATGATTGTGAGTGGAAGCCTTAAACTTAACTGTGTCTGTTAACGAACTGTTTTCATTTATAAGTTTATTAACTTTGCTCAGGAGAGCCAATCAGCACTGGTTTTTATAGCTCTTCACACTCAAAGTTGGTCAACGTCTCTTGGTTTTGTTCAGCTGGATTGTGTTTAAACAGACAGATATGCACTAATACAATCTTTCCAGCTAGTATTTTATAGCAGAATGAATGATCTTGTTTTTCCAGAACGACGTGCACAGAGCAATCCAGAGGACGAACTCGGCGATGTTCAACCAGGTCCTCATTCTGATCTGCACCTTGCTTTGTCTCGTCTTCACAGGGTGAGGCTGTTTCTCCAAGGTCCTCTACCTTTTTCATTAAATCACATTTCAAAAGGGATTGTGGGATATACTAAATTAGTACGTGTGTGCATTCAGACACAATCAGTCATTCACCCATTCACACACATTCACACCCTGGTGGCGATGAGCTACATTGTAGCCACCGCTGCCTTGGGGCACACTGACGATGTCCGTAGTGAGAATGCAACTGTGAATCTGGCTTGTCAACTTGGTTGCGATTGTATGCCAATTTCAATGTTACAACATTATGAAACCAACCCCACTGGTGCAGCTCCTTGAATTTTCCAAAAATACAAAATTAAATTAGTAAATTATCTCTAAATGAAATTCTAAGATTTGTTTCCATTCTCCTGGACAAACAGCTGTTAAGAAGCTGATCAAGTGGTGCATTCCTGTCCAGGTTGATCCGGTCAGGTCTTGGTTAGGTCAGCTCGTCCCAGCGCGGCCAGGAGCTGCCGTGGGCTCCTCTCACAGCAGTCAGTTTCTCGTTCTCCTGCAGCTGGAGCAGCAGGTCCGAGCTGCAGTCAGAGAAGATGTTTACCCCACTACATCCAGACTGATAATGAATCGTGCTTGCGGGAAGCTGCTGCTGGCTGTTAGGCATGAACATCAGCTGACCAATCAATCGGTAGCGGGTGTGTTGGGTCAGCTCTGCATGAAGCTGACCGCTGGAGAGCAGGTATAAAAACAACGGTCGTCTGAGCATGGAAAAATGCACCGATTACCCAGATGTGCACACAAAGATTAAAGTCCCAATAGTCGTCACACACACACCTATGTGCAGTGAAATGTGTCCTGCACATTTCATCCATCCCCGTGAGGAGCGGTGAGCTGCAGACACGTCCTCAATCGGGAACTATTTGGTGGTTTAACCCCTAATCCAACCTTTTTTGAAGCTGAACATCAAGCAGGGAGTTATTGGGTCCCATTCTTGAAGTCTGACTCGACTGGAATTTTTACTCTCCCAGTCCCTGGACATACACTCATACCATAGGCCACTGAGCTGGTTGAGCAACTTAGGGCTCGCCCAGAGCAACCCAAATGTGAATGTGCCATAAATATCATATTTATTTGACACAGAACATGTGGGATTCAGCACCTGGAGCGAGCAGGTAAAAACCTCTCCCTCTTCAACTCCTTCTACTTCTGCATCGTCACCTTCTCCACCGTGGGCTTCGGAGATGTGACCCCTCGCATTTGGCCCTCTCAGCTGCTTGTAGTCATCATGATCTGTGTGGCTCTAGTGGTGCTTCCTCTGCAGGTAGAAACAAAATCACCTGTGCTAATTTTTACATTTTCCTCTGTTTAGTTTTTTTTTAAACTGCTGATTTGGTGTAAGTTTGAGGAGCTGATCTACTTGTGGATGGAGAGACAGAAGTCAGGAGGGAACTACAGCCGTCACCGAGCTCAGACAGAGAAACATGTGGTTCTGTGTGTCAGTGCGCTCAAAATAGACCTGCTCATGGATTTTCTCAATGAATTTTACGCACATCCCAGACTGCAGGTGCCAAAAAATACCCATGTACATTTTAACTGTCTCATTCTGCTGATTCATGCATGCTTCTTGTTCAATCTTCAAGGATTATTATGTGGTGATCCTGTGCCCAAGTGAGATGGACCTTCAGGTGCGAAGGGTGTTGCAGATTCCTCTGTGGTCTCAGAGAGTCATCTACCTGCAAGGCTCGGTCCTCAAAGACCAAGATCTGCTGAGAGCAAAGTAGGAAAATAAAACTGCGTTTTTGCATCGTTTAGAGAACTAAATTTGACATCCACCTTTTGACCGTGAGACCATTCACTTTTTAGTCCCGACATTTAATCAAAGCACTGGACTTAACTTCGAAAATAACTATTATAGTAAAGAAATAAAATAAAATCTTAATAGTGAGACAATCAGTGCGACTTTTCTGGAGTCGGGTCACAGTGGCAGCAGCCTGAGCAGGTAGGACCAGACTTCCCTCGACCCAGCCACTTGGACCAGCTCCTCCGGGGAAATCCCAAGGTGGTCCCTGGCCAGCCGAGAGACATAGTCCCTTCAGCGTGTCCTAGTCTTTCTTTAGGTCTCCTCCTGGTTGGACGTGCCTGGAAAACCTCACCAGGAAGGTGCCAAGAGGCATCCTCACAAGATTGCCTGAGCCACATCAACTGGCACCTTTCAATGTGGAGGATCTACATCTACTCCGAGCCCCTCCCGGATGACCAAGCTTCTCACCCCATCTCTAAGGGAGAGCCCAGCCACCCTGTGGAGAAAACTAATATTGGCCGCTTGTATCTGCAATCTCATTCTTTCAGTCACTACCCAAAGCTTGTGACCAGGTGAGGGTAGGAACGTAGATCAGCTGGTAAATGGAGAGCTTTTCCTTTTCGCTCAGCCCTCTCTTCACCACGACAGATCGGTACAATGCCTGCATCACTGCAGACGCAGGCAGCACCAATCTGCCTATCGTTCACGTGCTTCATCTTTCCCTCACTCGTGAACAAGATCCTGAGATATTTTAACTGCTTCAATTGGAGCTGGACCTCATTCCTGACCCGGATTAGGCATTCTACTGTTTTCCGATTCCAGCCCATGGTCTTGGATTTGGAAGAGCTGATCACCCCAGCCGCTTCACACTGCAAACCGCTCCAGCAAAAGCCTGAGACCGCATTCTGATCTGACCTGCAGAAGGCATTGGAACGTTTAATGCCCCAAATTTAAAACAAAATATATTTGACAAATTATATGTTTTTTTCACACTAACTTTTTTGTGACACATAGATATTTTTCATTATTAAAAAAACTAAATGAAACATTTTTGTCCTGGCAGTAACAGGCACAGGACTGTCACACGGATCCCTCTTTTTAACCCTTTTTGTGTTAACAGGGTGAAAAAAGTTACCATACACATTGTTTGGATTATCTGTGGATGGTCAGTGTTGAGGACCAGTCAGCTGACAGCAGAGCTTGTACGAAGTGCTGATGAATGATAAATGACCTAAACATATATATATAGCGCCTTTCTGAGTCAGATGACTACAAAATGCTTTACAATACAGTGTAACCTTCATCCATTCACACACTGGTGGTGATGAGCTACGATGTAGCCACAGCTGCTCTGGGGCGCACTGACAGAGGTGCCACCAGTCCCTCTGATCACTATCAGTACGCAGGGATGGTTGAGTATCTTGTCCACGGACACAACAGCAGAATTCTCTGTCAGGAGCCGGGATCAAACCTGCAACCTTCCAATTACTGGACGATCCGCTCTACCTCCTGAGCTACTGATGACGTCAGCTCTGACTCTGACTGTTATTTTATACCCAAGAGGCTCTGAACTAAAAACGAGCTTGTGTTTTGTCGGAGGGATTGAGCTAACAAGCTTTATAAAACACAAAACCGCTGTTTTGTTTCATAACTCATTTATAATATCCCACCAATTCGGTCATTCTGATGCAGCAAATCAGTTAAATATTGTCATTTATTTTTTATTGGTGATACAACCTCCCCTCAGAGGACGGTCTGATCCATCTCACACTCACATCACTTTGTGTTCTGAAAGTTTGTTCAATCAGACAAAAAATACTTTGAAGGAAAGGCAGCGGGCTAATTCTGACTGACAGAAAAACAAACTGCAATCAACAAACACAACATATCTGATAACTTATTATTCTAATGAATATTGTTATCTGGAGATTAATATACTATTTACTTGAAAGAGTTCCACTGACCTCACATTTCAAAATAAAGGCTTTAATAAAGGCAGGTTATGTAACTAGAGCGTATACATTAATCTGGGTTTTATTAAAGCAATTAGAACTGAAGGCCTGGGTCTGCGGCATGCTTACATCCTTCATCTGGCACAGTTTCCAGTCCTCCCACACTTGTTTTGCATTCTGCACTCCGCTGTTAATCATATGCAGAAACAGTTCCACCGTCTCAGAACATTTGATTTACAGAGCGTTTCAGGTTGTTTGTGTGTCTGATGAGATGCAATCAGTGTTTCACAGAATACTGGTTGAAATTACTGTTATCTGCAAATTGTTCAAACTCCCTTTCTGTAGATTCTTTAGTGTCAGAATTGGCTTTTTGTTTCATTCCGATTAGTGTAATATCTGTCTGTACGAGTGTTTCCGAACTTTGTCCCACTTCTGCAGAATGGATGACGCCGAGGCTTGTTTCATTCTGAGCAGCCGTAATGAGGTGGATCGCATGGCAGCGGTGAGATGCAGACAGACACCTCTGATTTCAGTCTGCCTGTCTCTCATTGGGGAGAAAATATGAAGTGTTTTGCTGTTTGTTTGCTTTTGCAGGACCATCAGACGATCCTTAGAGCTTGGGCAGTCAAAGACTTTGCTCCAAATTGTCCTCTTTATGTCCAGATACTCAAACCTGAAAACAAATTTCATGTCAAATTTGCAGGTTAGAGTTTTAAACCATCACTACAAAACTTTATTGTTGAATGTTGTGTTTCTTTAATATTACTTTAGGCTTTTTGTTTATTTTCAGATCAAGTTGTGTGTGAGGAGGAGTTCAAGTACGCCATGTTGGCTCTGAACTGTGTGTGTCCTGCCACTTCCACTTTGGTCACGCTCCTTGTGCACACCTCCCGCGGACGGTCAGTCTTAGATAACCTCATACAAGGCATTTTGAGTTCTCTCCTAGTGTTGCACCAAAGTTCACATTTTCTCACGTGTGTCCATGTCAGCTGATGTTTAAAAGGAGTCCAGAGAGTCACCACAAAGAGTGGAGAAGAAAGCCAAAGCACAAACGTCTCGCTTTATTGTGGAACTCGGCAGGAAGTAGAGCGAGTCCAACAAAAAAGGAGAATGTGCACACACCAAATAGATTTTTTTTTCAGCATGTCTGTGTAAAACAGTTTGAATAGCTCCGTGGTGGCAAATGATTTTTCGCAGCATGCAAACAGGCGACTGATGTCAGTGGTTGAGGCAATAAGGCAATCAACTACCCACACTGGGGGTGAGGGTGGAGGTGCATATCAGTGTTAGTCAGAGAGGGAATATGGGGGCTCTTTCTGCCTAAATAGGTAATAAAATAAATTGATGAGTAAATTAATTCATCAGGCTCTGCAGAAGCCTGTTAATCACCTGCTGACTGACATCAGGTGTGCTGAAAACTAAAACGTGCTGGACACCTGTCCTTCCAGGACCGGAATTGAATAATCCTGTTCTAAATGGCAAATGGCCTGTATTTGTATAGCGCCAACCTCCAACCCCCCAAGGCCCTTCTCAACACAATCAGTCATTTACCCATTCACACACATTCACACGCTGGTGGGGCTGAGCTACGGTGTAGCCACAGCTGCCCTGGGGCACGCTGACAAAGGTGAAGCATGCCGAACACTGGCGTCACCGCTCCCTCCGACCAACACCAGCAGGCAAGGTGGGTTAAGTGTGTTGCCCAAGGACACAACAGCAGAATATCTGGTTGGAGCCGGGATCTGGGCTAATGTTTATTATGAATTTTGCAAATGCATGATTTTAAAAACATTTAGAGATGTAAAATAAAAATTTCTGTTTAATTTTTGTCACAATGACAAAGCTGTTTGGTTTGCTGAATACTTTTCCTCTGAACCGTTGCAGAGAAGGACTGCAGTCCCCGGAGCAGTGGCAGAGGATGTATGGATGTTGCTCCGGCAACGAAGTCTACCACATTCGATTGTGTGACAGCAAGTTCTTTGGAGAGTATAATGGCAAAAGCTTTACGTACGCCTCCTTTCATGCTCACAAGAAGTGAGTTGACGTGTAAGCTAAATCATCTCCCTCAGACACGGGCAAGTTGAGGTTTTACAGGGATTTTTATGTCCGATTTAATCATGCTGAGATGAGTGAAACTTTGTTTTATGTCGGAGGGGAAGGATACATTATTTTCCTGACAGCAGTTTCCGTGGATTATGTTTTGATGAGATGTATGAGTTCTGCAGCTGTGTAGGTGGCACCCTTCAGAGCTCCGACGCTATGAAGCAGACTGTTGCCTCGAGTGTCGCATCACCTCAGGCTGATTTCCCACTCCTTTTAGATGCTTGTGCTTTCCCATTTTTCTGTTTTCAACACCTCAGCTTCAGCATTCACGACCCTTTACCTTTATTTACTTCACATGTCAGTCAGTGGCTGTCTCAGAAGCGTAAAGCTGGTTTGTGTTCTCCAGGTATGGCGTGTGTCTCATCGGTATAAAACGGGAGGACAACAAGTGCATCCTGCTGAATCCCGGCCCGCACCACATCATGGCTGCCTCAGACACCTGCTACTACATCAACATCACCAAAGAGGAGAACTCAGCCTTCATCTTTAACCAGGAGGAGAGGAAGGGCCGCCCTGCTGGAGGAATCTTTGACGGGCCTTCACAGCTTCCTGTGCACAGCATCCTTGCCAGCATGGGTGAGAAACTAAGCACTAGAATTTAACTAGTTTTTCTTTAAAAGATTAAATTAAAAGACCAAATGAATGCGTTCACAGGTACTGTTGCCATAGATCTTCAAAATACAAGCCCACCCAACATTTCTGGCGGTAAACTGGTTCCGCCTGCGGAAAACGGAACAGGCGGCCGGCGCCCAAGCATCGCTCCGGTTCAAGAAATAGCCGACTCTGCCTCGATCCTCCCATGTGACCTCTTAGGTGACCAATCAGAAGACGACACTGTCCTTACAGACGAAAAAGGATGCTCATCTACTGAGTGAGGATTTTTTTAAATGCAGTTTTTAACACTTAAACCAATTTCCTTTGAAAGCGGGGTTCAGTGCTCTTTACCTTCTTAATGGCTGTTAGCCAAATATATCATATAGGAGATGCACATGATGATATTTGAGAAGTGAAACAAAGGTTATAGGAAGTACAAAAATTGTGCAATAATTGTTTAAACAAAATCCTTATGCTTAAATAACTCAATTTTAGTCTCATCAGTCCACAGCACCTTATTACAAAATGAAGCTGGCTAGTCCAAATGTGCTTTAAAAAACCTCAAGTGGCTCTGTTTGTGCTGTGGGTGGAGAAAAGGCTTCCTCTGCATCACTGTCGCATACCGCACCTCCTTGTGTGAAGTGTGCCGAATAGTTGAACGATGCACAGAGACTCCATCTGAAGCAAGATGATGATGTAGGTATTTAATGCTGGTCTGTGGGTTGACTGACTGTTTTCATCATTCTTCACTTCTGATTATCCGAGATTTTTCTTGTTCTGCCAATTGGAGCCTTAACTTGAACTGTACCTGTGGTCTTCCATTTCCTCAATATGTTCCTAACTGTTGAAACAGACAACTGAAATCTCTGAGACAGCTTTCTGTATCCTTCCCCTAAACTATGATGTTGAACAATATTTGTTTTCAGGTCATGTCAGAGTTGTTATGAGACCCCATGTTGCTACAATTGGCTAGCCTGCCCTACCAGACTCGTCGTCTGTTCAATTCCGCACAGAGAAAGAGTCTGGTAACTCACAGGCATAGAGGCACACAAGGGGCGGGACTAGGCAGTTAAAAATAACCGATCAGAAAAATGATGGAAATGCCGACTGTACCGTGCGACGCTGTCGTTTTTTAACTGTAGTAAAAAAGGCGTCTGGTAATGGTGCAAACATCTTTATTTTTTAGAAGAAATGCTTTTAGCACTTCTATTTGTTTTGGTTTTAAAGTAGGGCTGCAACTAACGACTATTTTAATAGTCCACTAGTCACTGATTATTGAAACGATTAGTCGAATAATCAGATAATTATTAAATTTTTCTTAAATTTAGCATGAGATTGCTCTAATTATGTGAAAAATGATAATAAACACAAGAATGACGGGTACTTCAATGGAAAATACTCTATTGAACTTTGCTGCTGATAGGCCAATTCACACTAAAAGTAAATTAAAAATACCCTGTCTAACACCAATTAGGCACAGTGCTCAGTCAGTATAGACATAAATGCATAAACAAAATTAAAACACTTTTGTCAGGCACAGTCGGGCATAACATTAAGTCTCTCTTTTTTAAAAGAGAAAATAAGTTAAAAAAAATGTACAGTGTACATCCAAAACAAAACGTATTGGCTTCAAGTTATTTAAATCTTACCGAGGTGAGTCAGACTGTTTCATTCAACTGTCCGACGTGCTTTCTCTTTAAGTGTTCATGCATCACCGAGGTGCTGCCGTGATACGCAAGGACTGCTTTGCAAATAATGCAGGTAATCTTTTTATTCGCCGAATCCAGACTAGAATGCTCCCAAACCTTAGATGTTTTGGTACGCGTAGCTGCTGTGTTGGACGTCGCCATTTCTGTTAGTTGGAGCCATCGACATAAATATACTGGACATCTCCTTTCCATAGGCTCCAATAACACGTTTTTGTATTAAAAAGGGAGGTGGCCACAACCGCCATTTTGACCGTGTCACAGGTTCCGTCAAGCCCAGACAATTCCATAAAAGGGAAGAGAGGTGGAGCTGAGGGTGGGGCTGTAAGGCTGGGATCAACTGATGACACCCGGTCGAACTAGCTACAAGCTAACGTTACTCGAGGTGAACCGTAAGCTGGACAATGTCCTCGCTGCGTTGCCTGTGTTAGTGCGCAAAATGGATTTGATCTCGGAGAGGGTCGCCGGACGATGCGGGGATGTGAAATGTAAAATTGGCTTCACTGGTGGACATGAATGACCACTTAAAGACTCCAAGGCGGAGAGGAAGATCATCTCTGCCTGCCCTAAACAAAGTCATGTTTATCCTTATCTGACGCCATAGCAGCCTCTCAAGGCTGCCTCAACACACCCCCACAAAAGGAGGAATGCCGACAGATGCTGTGTCCCAACCTTCACCCTCTTCCTTCAGGCTGACATGTCTGCAGGAACTTCAATGTGCTCTCTGTTCCTTATCTCTCCCTCCCACCTGTTGGTCTGCAGCTGGTCGATGCGCCGTAGTGGCAGCTCCCATTGGAGGCTTCAGGATCCCGCCCATCCCCACCTCCCCATCGGACTCTGATGTTTGTATCTGTGCTGTTTTGTGCTTCCATGTTGAAAGGAGTTTTTTTTGTATAATAGAGTTACTCCCCGCTGGGGCTAACTCTGCTATGCCTTTTTTTTTTTACCTACCTCCACTTATCCTCATGTAACACCCTTTTCATCTATCTATTAAGGTAGCGCGACTCATGTTGCGAATGACCGCAGTCACCAATTCTTGTTATGTGTCTTACCCACGTATGTCTGATCTTTGAATTGTGTGTGCTGAAACTGAATTTCATTTCTCTGCATGTCCTGCACATGTGGTAGAAGATGACAATAAATGACTTTGACTTTGACTTTTGACTTTGACCTGAAGCTAACCCAAAGCTAACACGGAGGTGGGAGCTAAGCTAACGGAGGTAGCAACCTAGCTACAACCGGAGTTAAATGTGCACTGAGTCAGAGATACGCCGGGCTGACCGCTGGGTAAAACCGGGTGGAACACAGAGGTCTCCCGAGACCTCCACAAGCCGGCAGCCGCAAAGCAGACAAGTGCCGCTGCGAACTGAGATGCGCAGAGCTGCGCTGGGGAGAACCGGGTGGAAAGGTTTCCATCCCAGAGCTCCACAAGCCGTCAGCCCGCGCAGCACACAGAAGCCGCGATTAGACAGAGATGCGCCGAGCTGCGGGGAGGGGAGAACGGGTGGAAAACATCGGTCTCCCGAGAGCTCCACAAGCCGATAGTAGGAACCCAGCTCCACCAACATGTTATATTGCAACCCATTTTCTAAAATGCAGCATTATGTTAAATGCACTGGGTTGTACCCTACTACATTTAAATTTCATGGTTAAACAGTACATGTTAAAATCTAAGCTCAGCTCGGCAGTGACCTAAAATGCATAAATATAATTTTACTTACCAAAAAAAAATGAAGTGGAGACTCCTTGGACGCTCTATTAGTGCAATTAATGCCACAGCAAGTCATTTTGCACAAAAAATATCCAAAACAGAATACACAAACACAGAGACTCAAAATCCCAGAACAGTTTCCAAGCCAGACCGAGGCTCTACTGAGGCCTTTCCACGGAGCTAGCTCTGTGGTCACGTGGGTCTGATGCTCATTAATTATACAGAATTTTAGGCTCTTAATACACTTAAACAGAAGAGTGAGAAAAAAAATTCACCCCCCTCAGAGTTGTCATGAGTGTAAACTAGATAATTTAAACAAAAAACATGTTCTGGTACCAGGCTGTAAACATGTTTATTTCTGCTGTGAAATTGGTATTTTTAACATGGGAGTCAATGAGGATTTGCTCGCTTCTGACACCAGCCCCCAGTGGATGAGGGTGGAACTGCAATTTTTGGTACTTGCAGGTTGGGCCCAATTTAGGCATTGTGGTGGCTTGGTTGGAGCTCTGCAGAGAAGCTATTGCGCATGTGCGACTCTCGGCAGAGATTGTAATGAAGTGAGATGCCTCACTCGGTCGGAAAAAACATGTCTGGTGGCAACGTCGACAATGAAATTCATTGTCGACTATTTCTATTGTCGATATTTTTCTACAACGTCATCAAATCGTTGCAGCCCTATTTTAAAGACATTCAAGTCATTTAGAACAGAGGAAAGAGCCGCAGCGAACTCTGCCATTGTCTTCGTTGCTTATGAGAAACTGAGCGTCGCTGTGTGTGACGTCCGCGACACTGTAGTTTTTAAGCTGTAGTTAAAAATGGTGTCTGGCGACAGCGCAAATATCTGTCTTTAGAAGAAAGGCTTTTATCTTTTCTACTTGTTGTGGTTTTAAAGACATGGTCAAGTCATTTAGAACAAAAGAAAGAGCCGCAGTCAACTCTTTTCAGTCACCATGTTTATGACAAACTCTGCGTTATGGTGTGTGACGTACGCTACTCAGTGCTGATTGGCTCGGTTAGAATTCTCAGGGGGTGGGGTTATTGGAAAGGAGAGTTCCCAGACTCTTTCTCTGTGCAGAATTAAACAGAGGAGGAGTCTAGCAGGCCAGGCTAACAATTGGCCCCTTAATTACTCTTTCTCATAACTGGAGTCACCTGTGTAGGGAGGTCAAGGGTCACCAGGCTTACCAAACTTTTGAGTTCCAATAGTTTGTTCTAAAGGTTTTGGAATCAATAACATGACAACAGTGCCCAAATTTTTTTTTTGGTTACTGTTGTTTTTTATTGCACACTTTCTGTAAATCCCATATGCTGTGCTTCACTTCTCGTCTCCTACATGATTTAACTGATGTTTTTTTAATCATAACAAGATTAACAAGGCTGCCCAAACGTTTGCATCCCACTGCATAATATTTTAATTGTAAAAAAATAAAGCTTGAATTGTGACACCTGTATGGAACCCTATTCCTGTCACTCAATAAAATAAAACATTTTGTTAATAATTTTTATAAATGACTTAGCTATCTCATTATGAGATACTGTCTCATTATAACTTAGCCATCTAATACATTTGAGATAGTATCTTACTGTTATGACTGGAAAATACCATAATTATGTGATTGCTAAGTCATAATTATAAGATCGAAGATTTTTGTATCAGTGTGGCGGGAATGGCCTTCCATACTCATTTAACTTAACTTCATGTTCTTCATGGTTATTTCAATGCAGCATCTTGCTTTATTAGGTAGTACACTGGACATAAACAAGGAATGAAGGAAGTCTAAATGGTGACTCAGCTGCTGAGGGCACTTAAGCCCATGTGATGTGTTCTGCACCACACTGTTATTTGATTGTCAGTCACTGAATTTCTCTGGCAGCTCCAGATAAATGTTACTTTCTGGCCTCAATTTTAAAATATAAAGCAGCTGATTAGCATATAATGTTTTATGATAGACATGTATTTTTTTCCTGCAATTACCTTTTTTTGTCTGAAGCATAAATTATATTTGGCAGATTTTAGTACCTATTTTACTGAAGTTTGTATCTCTTCCAGCGTTTATGGTTCTTCCAGTCAGACTTGTATCTCATGGTTTGTATTTTCTATTTCTGCAGATCAAATAGCATTAACACATAATTTAAGTTTATTATCTTTCATCTATGAAGATTTGATCACTTCTATTATGGTCTGAATGAAAACATCCAAACACTTTAATCTGCAAACATTCTCCAAAATTGTACAAACCAAATTTAGAAAATCAGATCAAAAACTGTTATTTGCTCATTTATTAGCTGTAAATGTTTTGCTCTTTTATCCAAGCAAAATAAATCAGCTTTAATCTTTTTGGATTATAGCAAAGACACTCAGAATGATTTATTGAAATGCGTCACTTGTTCATCCTGGGCTTGTTTTCAGGTATGTGAAAGGTTATCCTCCTAACTCTCCGTACATTGGGAGCTCACCCACCTTGTGTCATCTGTTGGCTGAAAAAGCTCCGTTTTGCTGCCTACGACTGGACCAGGTGGGCAGTCGCCTTTCCTTCAACTTAGTCACCCAATTACACACCGCCTCAGTCATTCCCTTCACTCCTCTGGTTGTCCTTCGCTTCAAAAATGCGTACTTAAAATGCCTCTGTGTTCTTCTTCTCCTTGTGCAGGGATGCATGCACAACAGCTTTGAGGATGCGAAGGCTTATGGCTTCAAAAACAAGTTGATCATCGTGTCGGCAGAGACTGCAGGAAATGGTCTCTATAACTTCATTGTGCCTCTCAGAGCTTATTACAGACCCCGAAAAGAGCTGAACCCTATTGTGCTGCTGCTGGATAACCCGTGAGTTTTAACACATACAGTACTACATTGTTCCTCTCTTTTCTCTCAATCCGTCTTCCTCCGTGTCACGCTGGGAAACATAATGAGCGCTGAGGAGCTCACGTCAGCGAGCACTTAGGACAAGGCTGTGGAGGTGGGACTCCTTTGTTAATCCTGATGTTAGATTACCACTATTGCTCCCATTTACTGCATGTTTTTACTGACAAAGAAAATAAAACTCCCTGTACTTCCAGACGGTAACCATGGAAACGTGATTTGCCTTGAACCTGGATGATGTATATTTTGCTACAAGGGGGAGAAAATTATTTCTTTGAATAGCACTACGCAAACTTTCCTCCACAGGCCTGATGTGTCCCTTTTCATCCCCCACACGTCAGATCTTAGGACTCTCAGAAGAAACACACACACACACAACAGTAAAGTCTCCCTTCACGCTGATCTCGGTCTCTCCCATCCCACCGGTGTCGCACACACACAAATGCAAACACCCACACACTCACAAACGCAATTCAAGCACAGCCTCGGGTCTGGAGTCAGCTGGACTGGGCAGATGCAGAGTCAGCTGATAATAAAGTGAGATGGTGTTTTCCCTCAGCCTGAAGAGGCTTTAACCAGAGAGGTGACTACTGCAGATGTTCCTGAGGATCTGGTGAGCAGTAAACTTATCCCTGAATTAGATGTAATACATCAGAGTTTTTCTACACATTTACACCAAAGGGTTTCATTGGTTTGATTTACAGTTGTGTTTTGCTGCTATATATTTGATCCAGTCATTTTTAGGGCACTGACACTTTTTTTTCCAGCTCTTTTTTTTCAGCTCTTTGCTAAAATATTCAGAAGCTATTTTTAAGGGGTTCACCTTATTTTTTCAGTATTTGTATCCAGTTTGAACAAACAAAAGTAATTGTTTACTGCCTTTTAAATTTTAATTCCTGTAATTGTTATTATAAAAGTGACTCAAAAGCAGTTTCTTTGTGATTACATGATCAGTTAAACAAGTACAACAGGGATATCTGCTTTTTTTATCCATATCCAATGTTCCAGTGTAGTTGAATTCTTTGAGAGATATTGTTAATTCGTCATGAGAAATACACTTTCCTGTGTCAGCTTCAATATTTTCTCATTTATTTTCTGCCCTGCTTACAGAAGAAAGTATCCGTCAAGGCACTTCTCCTCCCCTTGAATCTAGTCTTGAATCTGAAACCTGCATCCCCTGAAGTAGCTCTCTAACGCTAACTTTCTCCTAGTTGTGGAAACAGAGCGGCTGATTTCATGCTGCAGTTAATGAAAACGTGATCCTTATGTCACAGATGACTGCTTTAAACCTCCACCGGTACCAGAGTGGATATTCTGACAAATTAAAAACATGCATGTTGTCCACAAAGATGCGTGTAATGGGCAGTACAGGAGATGTGTCATGGCGACTATTGTTTTGTAACAAACTTGTTAGCTTGGTGTTTAGAGTAACTCACTGGCATGCTGTTTTGCATCGGTTGGATCCCCGGTCACTGTAGTAACGGTTTTCTTCTTTTTTAGCAACACTTGCCAGTATCATGTTTTCAACCCTTTATTGGTAAACTGTTTTAAAAGTAAAGACCAATACTTTGTTACAATCTTTGTTTATTGAGCCAGTGTGAGTCCATGTGAGGTGAGCGGAGTGTCAACTACAACGCTGCTCACACAGCAACATGCCACAGCAACACGCCACAGGCTGCAACAGGTGATGGCAGTGTTTGAAACCCTCCCAGCGGGACAGGGGAGCTCAGCCCGCAGCAGCGCTGTGTACATAATTTGGTATATAAGTCACTTTGGTATATAAGTCGCAGGACCAGCCAGACTATGAAAAAAAGTGTGACTTATAGTCCGGAAAATACTGTACACTTTTTTACAATTATACACTTTAATTACACAATAAAACACTTTAACTTACTATGTAATTACCATGTAAGTACTTAGTAATTAGGGGACTGTAAAAGGAAGCATTACCCATTTTGTAAATGTACATGACAAATCTTCTTCATACTCCAGGGTTACTTGTGGAGTACCACAGGGTTCAGTGCTTGGACCAATTCTTTTTACTATATATAGAGCTCCGGACCCCACGTGACTCTCAGTTAGTAGACGCCCTATTGGCAGGTAAAAGAATCTAAACAAACACGGATGTAAACGTGAACGGGATCGGCTTGGATTTTACTTCGTCCGAGTTTACTTCACTCTTTAAAACCGAAGAAATCGTTTTATATAGTCAGAAATTAAATAGACTAAACATCTCCGACCCTTACCGTGACCCTGGGATACTTTTTAAAAACGCCAGAAGCTGTCGGAGCGGACTTCTTACCGGACCTGGCCGGGGAACCCCTTGGGATTCCCCCGGAGGAGGAGGCGGCTGGGGAGAGGGAAGTCTGGGACTCTCAACGCTACTGCCCGCTCCGACGCCAGAAGCTGTCGGAGCGGACTTCTTACCGGACCTGGCCGGGGAACCCCTTGGGATTTACCCGGAGGAGTTGGCTCAGGTGGCTAGGGAGAGGGAAGTCTGGGCCTCTCAACACTACATGCCCCCGCAACCCGACTCCGGATAAGCGGATGAAAATGGATGGATGGACAAATAACAGATTTACACGAATGTAGTTTAAATAGAGTGTTGTGCTGTTTAAATGTATAAACTAAACACCAAGAGAAATCACTAGTTTGATTTTTTCCGTGAACAAAATAAATATGTCAGGCAGGAGCGTCTCAGGATCTGTCTGAGATCTGTCTCGGTGAGACAGATAATAGCAATACAAAGTGCTTTTTATGTGTGATCTGACAATTGATCAACCATTGCTTAAAAATTAAATACAGCATAGCCGGTTAATTGCTGTCATCATAAAACACGTAAACAACAGCACGCAGAAATCACGAGGCAACGTTTGCATGACGTTTACTTGTTGCTATGAGTAATAAGACAGAAAAAGCCACACCTAAATAAGTTTAGGAAGCCCACTAAGAATCGTAATAAAAGCATTTAAAATAAATACCATACACAGTTGAGGAAACGTTGGTTTAAGTACCTGATATGAAATGGTTGCTGCATAAGTGAAAACCTTTACTCTCTGGATCCCACAGTTTCATTTTAGCCCGGTCACTAGCGCGTTTTATTACAATGATCCAACGTTTGCGGCGCTCCAGATCTTGGGGAATCCTGTAGATGGCTCATTCCTTATGTCGTCCGTGTCTGTTCTGCATCCTGGGGCACAACAGGAATCTACCATATTTCCTGTCTGATTGTGTTTTCTGACAATAACAAATAGTCCAGCTGCCGGCTGTTGCATGCTGGGAGAAGTGACGTCAACTCCCGGAGCTCTATATATGCTTCCAGTTGGTAAAATCATTAGACAGCATGGGATAAACTTCCACTGTTATGCTGACGATACTCAGTTATATCTATCCATTAACCCTGATGAACCTAATCGGTTAGTTAGATTTACAGGCTTGTCTTGAAGACATAAAAAAATTGTACGACTCAAACCTTTTTGTTTTTAAACCAAGACAAAACTGAAGTTCTCCTCTTTGGACCAGAAATTCAGAAAAGGAAATTGCTTAGTCAATCACCTGACCTGAATTGCATTAAACTAGTCTCCGAGAACAAAGAAAGGAACTTTGGTGTTATCTTTGACCAGGACATGTCATTCAAATCCCATGTTAAACAGGCTTGTAGGATTTTCTTTTTCCACCTTCGGAATATTGCTAAGATTAGATGCTTCCTTTCAAGGAGTGATGCTGAAAAACTAGTTCATGCATTTATTACATCAAGACTGGATTACTGTAATTCATTACTCTCAGGAAGTCCACAGGATGTAGTTAAGTCTTCAGCTTGTCCAAAATGCTGCAGCTAGTTTCCTCTCCACTGTCACTGCATGCTTGCTTAGTATGAGGATTGCTGTAAAGTCACTGCCACCAGTCAGTGACTTGATGCAATTTGCTGGGTTCTTTATGTAGGAAACTTTTTTCTGATTGTCTTAATAAATTGACCTGTATCGGAATGTTTATTATGTGAAGTGCCTTAAGATGATGCTTGTCGTGATTTGGCGCTATATAAAAAAACTTGAATTGAATTGAATAAATCCCTGTTTGTCCTCCTGCAGCACTCCCGAAGGGCAAAATACATCAGTAACAACCTAAAAAAAAGTCTGACATGTTGTGTGAAAATTGCTATTTTTAGCATATTTTTAGGTCCGACGTGTTGCTACCAGACGAAAAGTGTGAGCAGTCAGGTCGCGTCCGAGAACTGGGTCATAACGTAAACACATGACTCGTGAGATTTGCTCTGCGAAGATGTCGTACAGTTTGAGCTGAAGCTAAGTGCTACGAGTGAAAAAGTGGCACCGTGTCCGCTCAGCTTTAGACGCTGTTGTAGGTCCATTTTGTCTGAGCGGTTGTGGGCGGAGCTTCGCTTAAACAGACCATTTCATTTCTGGGTAAGAATTTAGGCTGACAAAAATAACTCATATTTAAGTTAAATGACATCTCAATAGTGCCAACAGTAATAGTTCATCATATATTGTTCCTACCTTTCCTCTCAAAGATTTAAAACAGCACGATATGGAACATTTAATTTCTGATACCAGTATTAATCTATGTCAATATATCCAGAGTCCCTCCCTGACAGAATAACTAAATAATTTTAGGTAACTAACATCACATATCTTTTATCATGTATATGTCAACTTTAATCATTATCTGTGCAAAATATGACAACTAGTTTACGTTAGGCAATGGTAAAAAGTTCCATTTTTATTTTGTCTCCTACAACAGCTGATTCACACTCTGCCTGAGATAATCTTGACAAACACCCACTTCACAAGTTCACAAACAAAAATATCTCTAAACTATACCTCAGATCGGTCATATTTGAAACTTTTCAGTAAGAGAAGTAGCTCGACAGTTTGATGTATAATATGTACATGGTATGCAAAAATTGTGTCATTAGAAGAAAAAAAAGATACCCATATTTTCCTATCTCCCACTTTGATGCCAATATCAGCCGATAATGTTGGACATCCCTAAAGTGCACATGTTTAAAAGAATGCAAGAAGTTGCAAGTCCAAGGTTGGCACATTTTGGAAATAAAATCAAATAAAAACACATTTATTTGTTTTGCAGAATCAAAAGTCAGGGAGCATCTCATGACTGTTTAATAAATGTAGGATTTTGATGTTCAAATGTTTCATTGTGAAGACCTTTAATAATGTGCAGCTGAAACATAAGGACCATAATAAAGAGAAGATTTAATAAAGCAAATGAAAACGCCAAATAATAATAATAATAATAATAATAATAAACAAAAGCACACAAACATTTAAGGCAGAAAACCTCTGGTGCAACCTTTTTGGATAAAAAAAATGATTTCAGTTTGTAGCAGAATGACTCAAGGTCAAAAGAAGACACCTTGAAAGGAGATAAAGTATGCAACATCTGTAAACTTGATTAAGGCAATGTGGTTTTAGGTTCATAATGATGTGACACATAAAAAGATAAATGAGGTTTTAATTCCACCAGGATTTACTGTCTGCTCAGATGAAAGGAAATAAACAACCAAAAACATGCAGCAAAGTTATTTTGAAAATCAAGTTGTTCTAAATGAAACACTCAGGAAACATCAGCAATACTTGCATTTTTTTTTTCAAATCAAATGTGTCCTTTTGTTGATGCTCAGTATTCATGAAACTTGGCTTCTTAGTTTTGTTTCCTAATCCAGCAAAGAAACAAACACAGTGCAACTGGAAAACACATGGAACAAAGGGAAAAATAAACCCATTTTGAGGAAAAGCTGTTGTTCTTTTCTAAGCTTTTTCTGAGTAGCTGGCATGCTTTCCCAACTGACTAAATACCAATCTTTGCATTTATAAATTATAGATCATAACAAAAAAATAAATCTTATTTCAGTATGACATCTGCTCCCTGCAGGCCTGATAATCACTTCCTGGAGGCCATTTGCTGTTTCCCGATGGTGTATTACATGGCTGGCTCCATAGACAAGTAAGGCTGCCACACAATCCTCAGCAAACCCACATTTTGTCAAAATTGGTGCTACATTTTTCAGAAAACATTTGCACTTTATTTAGATGTGATCTGATTTTTTGACATGTTTCTGCATAGTTTGCTGTTTTTACAGTCTGTGTGTTTACACGCAGTGTCAGAACAGCAAGTATTGCTTTAGTCCATGTAACTCCTTAATCAGGTTGAAGTCAAATCAAACTGGACTTATCCTAACCAGCGGTTAGAAAAGCAAATTTCTCTGCATGTGAACAACATCCCAGCTTAGCGGAGCTTTGACTGGCCCGTGCACTGCCCCTGCTGGAAGTGATGAGACCGCGGAAGCGGTCTTCTGATAATATCATCGCCACAATGTAACACCCGTAACACAGAAACTGAACTTACCTGATATACCGCCTCAGTCATGTTGTCATCAATTCCTTCAGACTGCATATCCTGCTTTTACTTTGTCAGCTTCCCTTTCACCAGAGACCGTGTACTATTTGTGTGTTTCTATAGGCTAACCGGAAGAATACGGACATGAACGGGTGCATGACGCCACCTACCTTCGCATAGTCGAATGCACTTCATTCAGTAATTAGATTTTCTAACAAACATGTAAACTAGTACCCAGGCAAGCCATCTTATATTTGTAAATATATAGTCTGGACACCCGTAGACAGAGCTCAGTCGTGGGGTGAAGTATACAGTTGTCTTTCGAACTGTCTGTGCTGGCACAAATCAAAGCAAGGAACGACGTGACATACTCACCACCACGGATGTGTGTCAGTCACCGGGGTAGTTCGCCATACACCACTGAAGAAGAAGAAGCAAATACATAATTTTTCGAAATGAAGGACTTAAGAACCTCTATCAGCTCATGTCTCAAAGGCAAGCCCAAGTCGAAACAGTCCTAAGTTAATGCTAAAGGTGTTCTAAACAAGCACTGTTCCTGAACAGACGCCAACTTTGTAGTTTTTCACCATTGCAGCTCTGGTGCAAAGCCCACGCAACAAACATAGAGCACTGTGATTGCTATAAAACTGTTCGGTGTGTGTGTGTGTGTGTGTGTTGCAGCCTGGACAGCCTTCTCCAGTGTGGTATTATCTATGCTGATAACTTGGTTGTTGTGGATAAAGAGAGTACGATGAGTGCCGAGGAGGACTACATGGCTGATGCTAAAACTATTGTCAATGTGCAGACCATGTTCAGGTAACTGTATTCTTGTCATGTCTGTTGCATTTTAAAGAGACATGATCAGTTTGGATTAAATCTATTGAGTCTGAGTGTCATCTTCAGCAGCCCTTTAAAATGTTGAAACAGACATTTTTCTTTTTTCTTTTTATGATATTCAGGCTGTTTCCTAGTCTCAGTATCATCACAGAGCTTACTCATCCATCCAACATGAGGTTCATGCAGTTCAGAGCAAAGGACTGCTATTCGCTGGCTCTCTCCAAGCTGGAGAAGGTTAGACAAAGGCCAGAAGTCTTAAAGGGGACATATTATGCAAAACTCTTATTTATTTGTTGAATCCTTTTGTGCTGCCATGTGGACCTCTACTGCCTGTATAAACACGAAGCATGAGAAAAACCCATCATTCTGTTCTCTGTCAGTGTTTGCTTTTACCTAAAACAGGCAGTTTCAAAAAGTCCTCGTTTGTGATGTCGTAAAAATGTGGAAAGTAGAACAGAACCACCTCTCAAGTGCAAGAGAGAGCTGCTGTTGGACAAGCAGCGGTGCTACTCTGAGCCCTTCCTAGATACCTGAGCTCCTCAGCCTATAGCAGCCAATCAGAGGGTGGGTGTGGTTAACAATGGCTTGTTTTCTCAAAATGACAAAGCCCTGAGACTGATTCATTCTGGAAGGTACTGAAACTGTCAAGAATAACAATGCTGAAACATTAGAGGGACTTTATGCAAAGAACTTCATGAATGTGTTTGGTATCAACCATAAAACTATTACAACTTAAGAAAATGAGTCCTAATATGTCCCCTTTAAAGAAATAAAATTTAATTGCAATCCTCTGGACTGTTAAAAAAGGTGACAAGCTACTTAAATGTTGCTGCCTTCCACAGAAAGAGCGTGACAAAGGCTCCAACTTGGCCTTCATGTTTCGTCTGCCCTTTGCTGCAGGCAGAGTGTTCAGTATCAGCATGTTGGACACCCTCCTTTATCAGGTTGGTACACAAACAGCCAAGCACATGACCTCAGATGCTTCAACGCATCGCCTTGCAGCACAGGAAAATAAAGGAATTAAAAGACCGCTAAACCAGCTAAACGAACAAGTGCCCTCTTGTGTTCATTCGTTAGAATCGTCATCAACTTTCATTCTATTTTTTAAATTTTAAAACTGTTTAAACATTGTTTCTTTCCTGTGCTTTCCAGTCTTTTGTGAAGGACTACATGATTCTTATAGCAAGGCTGCTGCTTGGACTGGACACCACTCCAGGATCAGGATATCTCTGTGCTGTGAGTCCCATAGAAAAAGAGCTTGACGCTTCAACTTCAAGTCACTGCAAGAGCAACCCTCTTCATATCTTGTTTTAGATGAAGATAAAAGAAGAAGATCTCTGGATCGGCACTTATGGGAGATTATTCCAGAAACTCTGCTCCACCAGTGCTGAAATTCCTATTGGAATCTTTCGCACAGAGTCTCACGTTTTCACTACTTCAGAGGTGAAATTTAAAAATGAATTCTTCTTCTTTTTTTTAAATTACATAAATCTCCAATTTTCAATTAAATTTGCCCCCCACCTCAGTCACAGGTGTCAATGAGTGTCGATGACTGCGAAGACACAAAGGAAAGGGGGGAAGAGTCCCGCACCAACGACCAAACGGATCACCCCCTGCTCAGGAAGAAGAGCATGCAGTGGGCGCGGCGTCTGAGCAAGAAAAGCGTGAGGTGGCAGGGCGTGAGCCGCGACTCGAGCAAAGACCATGCCCAGCGCATCGCTCAGCAGCGTCTCAACCTCTACAGACGTTCGGAGAGGGAGGAGCTTTCTGAGTTGGTCCGCAATCGCATGAGGCATCTGGGCCTCCCCACCTCTGGATATGGCAAGGATAAAATTTCCTTTCACCGTATTTTATATTTATGTCTTTCTCGTGACTTCTTGTTTTAAAATGTTCCTTATCTAATCATAGATGATCTGACAAATCTGACAGCCAGTGATGTCATGAACAGGGTCAATCTGGGATACCTACAAGGTGAAAACCCTGATCCCATGTCAGATGAGGTTGGGCTGAATATTAAAAGTTATTTATTTACTTCTGGGCTGATTGTTTATGTTTTTGTTTCAGATGAGCAGAACGACCACCAGAACACCCTGTCCTACGTACTCATTAACCCGTCTCCCGACACCCGGCTGGAGCTTAATGACATTGTGTAAGTTTTACTATACTTCATTTATATTGGTGAAAAGTTTATGTTTGTGGATTAAAATAAAATCATAGAACAAAGAAATGAAAAATGCAGCAGCCCAGGAAGCAGCCGGGTAATTTGGCTCACATCTTTTATTATGACCAAGCGAGGTCAGAAGCATGAGCAGGAGGTACAAACATAACACAAGGAACAAGAAATTAACCGAGGAGGCAAAATACGGATGAAGACAAAACACAGTCAAATTAAACAAGGTGATACTAGAAACTAAAAACAGAGAGAACAAAAAACAGGGTAACACCTCTCTTGAAGGTTTTTGAGCCACCACTGTGAGAATAGAAGGCCAGAATACAGATGTCAGAGTTTGAACGTGTGTTCTCCCACAGGTACTTGATCCGTTCAGACCCACTGGCTCATGTCCCAGAGGAACCCCCTGTCCACAGCAGCAGTCTGAAAGAGAAATGTGAGTCCAGCGTGGACACCAAAGAGGACACCCAACTCTAACACAATGTTGGCCTTTAACTGGTTCGCATCCCCCAGATCACTCCTTTGTTTATATCAGAGTTCTGGTTCTGGCCACAGGCCCAGTCTGAATGATGGCAGCATTTGAATCTCAGCTCTGCAGTCTACAAATGTATTAAGTGAATTTGAGTGTGTTACGGCTACCAGCCTGGCCACTGGGATGTAGGAGCCAGGATCACCCAGCCCTGGTGATCAGCCCAACACCGCCCCTCCTCCTCCTCTCTTCCAGGCTGCTGAGGAGCACAGCTGAGCTGAATCCTCCTGATGACCCACACCTGGGATAAAAAGGCTGTGCCCTCAGTAGTCTGGGAGGCAGCAGTGCAGGGGTTCTGCTGTCCTCCATGCCTCATTTTGTTTTCTGCCCCTTTGTTTGTGATGAGTTTTAACTTTTAAAGTTTTAACTCTGAGTTTAGGAGTTTAAAGGGATTAACTTTGAGTGATCCATAGTGATCTTTGGTTGATGTCAACTTAGTTGACTAATTTAAGGTTAACGCTGCTTTGGTTTTTAGACTTTTATCAACTTCGTTGTGTTTTAAAACACCTTCAGTTTAGGTAAAACTTTTAATGAAGTTTTAACCAGGTGTTTTATAAAGTTCATAAGTTGTCTTTTAACTGTTAGTGAATTTTTCGTTTAGCATTATGTTAATAATGTGAGGTGTTAAAATGTGAAGGAGGGGGTAACATAAGAATTGCAACAGTGGATTTAAAATGGGTTTAATTGTTATAAAAGGTTCTAAAAACAAGTGCAAACAGATGGCGAGCATTATTCAAATAATGCAAAACAAAAAATTCACTAAGGTTAACAGTTTAAAGACAGCTTATGAACTATATAAAACACCTGGTTAAAACTATTAAAAGTTTTACCTAAACTGAAGGTGTTTTAAAAAAAAACACAACGAAGATGATAAAAGTCTAAACCAAAGCAGAGTTACCCATAAAACAGTCAACTAAGTTTGACATCAACCAAAGATCCCTATGGATCACTCAGTTTTTCCCTTTAAACTCCTGAACTCAAGAGTTAAAAGGAAAAACTCTTCACAAACAAAGGGGTTGAAAACAAAATGAGGCCTGGAGGACAGCAGAACCCCTGCACTGCTGCCTCCCAGACTACCTCTTCTTCTTTTGTCGTTTAATTGGCGGGTGGCAACCAACTTTCAGGTGCATTTCCGCCACCTACCGAATGAGAGTGTGAGTTGAAGTGGGGAGTATCCTACTAAAAAAAAAAAAAAAACTAAATTCTGTTAAGTATTCCACTTTCCCTTAAGTCTATGACTAACTTATAAACCACTATTCCCCCATTTAACAGAATATTCAAATCAAATTTCTTATATCCTTTAACTTTTAATTTTTCAACTAACATTTTCCTATTCCCCACGTATTTTCTTCATGTACATAATACATGTTCTACTGTTTCCCTAGCAAGTCCACAGTCACACATACCGGTAATATGCCGTCCAAGAATAAAAAGCGTACTGTTCAAAGCTGTATGTCCCATTCTCATCCTTGTTATCACTGCTTGATTTCGGTTACTCATTTAAATGACTTCCATTCTTCCAACCTTTCCCTTTAAATTTGTATAAATGTCTTCCTTTCATATCCCTTATCCATTGTTCTTGCCGTTCATCCACAATCTGCTGTCTAATAACTGATTTCACTTCTGCAACACTATATGGAACCTCCATAGTATCCAGTTTCATTGCCTGCTTTGCATAATAATCAGCTTTTTCATTACCCTCTACTCCACTGTGAGCTGGAACCCACATAAACCTAACCTCTGAATTAGTCTTCATCAACCTAAACATGCACTCAAATATTTCATACAAAATGTCTGACCTCTTATCAGCTGACATTTCTTTAATTGGTAACAATACTGACATGGAGTCTGAGCAAATAATACTTTTCCTAACACCATTTTGTTCTATCCACTGTAAACTAAATGAAATGGCTAACATTTCCACTGTAGAAACTGACAGATTATTAGATGTTCGACTTTCATGATATATACTAAATTTCGGAATCCAGAAAGAAAATCCTGTTATATTTCCTGACTCTTTCGACCCGTCAGTATATATAGGGATGAATGCTTGATGAGTGTCATTGAACCTTTCTTCCACAATATCATCCCAGTTTCCCGCACCTTTCCGTATATTAATTTCATTTTGAATATGAAAATCTATCAGTACTTTTGGAAATAACCAAAACGGAGAAGGCGAATATAAAAATGTCTTAACAACTTTATCATTTAATTTAAAGGCTTCCTCCAATTTACACGATTTCTTAGCCATACTCTCATACTTTCCATTGAAACATTGCCCTCCTACTTTCAACTCTCCCTTAACCATGTGCTCATCCTTTTCACTACCTTGTACACTAGTCCAATAATTTCATTTCAGCAACTTGAATCTTAAATGGCATCGCTCCCATTTCCACTTGTAAGGACACTATCGGTGTGGTTCATTGCTCCACAACAAATTCTTAAAGCCTGACTTTGAATAACTTCAATCTTCTTCAATAATGTTTTACTTGTGGAACTACATACAATACTACCATAATCAATAACCGATCTGATCATTGCTATATATACCTGTTTTTAAAGCCTTGGTACTAGCCCCCCAATCATTACCCCTTAAACACCTCATAATATTCATTACCTTTTTACAGCTTTCAACTATGTTATTAATATTCTCCTTCCAAATCAACCTTTCATCAAATATAACACCCAAATATCTAAAACTATGAACTTACTCCAAAGGTTCCCTCTATAATTTAAGCTCAATTTTAACATTTTTCTTTGTAAAGACCATACTTTTTGTGTTGTCCACTGAAAATTTAAATCCCCATTCAAATGACCAATTCTCTACTTTTATTATTGCTTCCTGAATCTTCTTCTGCAAGTATTGAATGTTCCTTCCTCTTTTCCATAATATTCCATCATCTGCAAACAATGCTTTCCCAACATCATATCCTATCTCTTCAATGCATCATTGATCATAATAGAAAATAGAACAGGACTGATCACACTTCCCTGTGGCGTCCCATTGTCAACCCTATAACCCTCTGACAATCTATCACCTATTTTTATCTGAATGTATCTATTAAACAAAAAGTCCTTAATCCAATCATATGTTCTTCCCCCATCTCCAACTTTTTAAATTTAATCAGCAAGCCCTCCTTCCACACCATGTCATATGCTTTCTCAATATCAAAATAAGCCATAACTAAACTCTCTTTATTGTTTTGTGCTTTCCTAATGTCATTTTCCAGACTCACTATGGTGTCCATCGTTCCTCTGCCAGTTCTAAACCCATTTTGATATTTCATTAACAAATTCCTACTTTCTAAATAATAATTTAACCTTTCCGTAATCATTCTTTCCATTACTTTACCTATATGAGATGTTAAAGCTATCGGTCTATAGTTCTCCGGAATACTTGGATCTTTCCCAGGTTTAATTATCTGAATTATTACTGCCTCTTTCCAATTTTTTGGTAATTTCTCTTTTTCCAGACTTTTTATATAACTCCAACAGCCTTCCCTTCAACTTATCCCCTAAATGTTTAAGCATCTCATAATTAATATCATCCTTACCAGATGATGTTACTTTAGTTCTCCCCATCGCTCACTGTAGTTCAAAAACTGTTAATGGAGCATCAATTGTCGTCAGTCTCCGCCCACCATCATCTTCAACAATATTAGTCCTTCTGGTTTCTTCTCTTCTTCTCCATCTATCTTCTGACAAATTATCATCACTATTAATTTTTATAAAAGCTTTAGCCAACATTTCAGCTTTTTCTTCATTGCCAATAGCAACCTCTACACCTACTTTGAGAACCGGGTATCTAAACTCTCTATAAACTCCCTTCATTTTCCTTATCATACCCCAAACGTCACTTACAGACGTAGTTCTTCCTATTTTATCTCAAAACCCTCTCCCAATTTTCTCTTTTCGCTCTCTTAACTACTCTTCTTGCTTCAGCCTGTAATCTTTTATATTTTAACAAACTGTCAAAATTATGAGTCTGTCTCAAAACTTTCATACTTTTATTTCTCTCTTTAATAGCCTTTTCACATTTTTCATTCCACCATGGAACATTCTTCTTTTTCATGGTCCCTTTACTTTTAGGAATAGTAACGTCCGCCGCTTCAATTATCACTCTCCGAAAAATTTGTTCCACTATGTCTATATCCTCTTCCATATTAATCCTTCCATTCTCTTCTTCACACATATTTCTAAATTTAGCCCAATCAGCTTTTTTAAATACCCAACGACCATCACTTTTGTCCAGAGATACTTCGTTACTCCTATAGTTTTGTAAAAATTATATAATGATCACTCCCCAGATTACGTTCCCGAACTTCCCAATTACAGTTTTCCACTAACACTATTGTTAGATCTATAGCCGAGGTTTTACCCGTAGTTACGTTTATCCATGTCCCTCTACCATCATTTATACAGACTAAATTCATATAATCCATGAACTCAATGATTTCCCCATTCTTATCCTCCTTAATTCCTCCCCACAAAGAACTATGAGAATTAAAATCCCCACACATTACCACCTGATCATAATTCCCTTCCATAATTAATTTAAGCTTATTAATATCCAATTTTTGCATGGATTACATACAACTTATTATTTACATACATTTCTATTCCTATATATTCATCAGTTCCTATTTTAATTATTCTATAATTCAGACTAACATGAATAAAAGTAGCACAACCTCCTCCAATACCATCTTCCCTATCACATCTAATTATTGTGTACGGATAATTTAAATTCTAATTGTTTATTTAACCAAGTTTCTTGAACACAAATAATATCTGGTTTCTTCAATAATTCATCAATATATCTTTTAAATTCTTGTCCGTTAGCAATCAGACTCCTAGCATTCCATTGTAAAATCCCTACCATTCACTATCCCAACCCCTCTTGACTGGAACTCGCACTAAGGTTGTTCCTGACCTCCTCCCATGACAACTCAGTAATGTCCAGATGATGAACAGCTGCTTTCACAATATCCTTTCCGTTTTTTATTTTGTTTCCATCGTTGCATTTAATACTCCTGCAATGAAAGTCACTAATTTCTTAACATCTATCCACACTTTTCCAGCCCGTCCAGATCCTTGAGCTGAATCTTGTGGCATCATGTCATTCATTCTCACTGGAGCCTCTCCCACCAATTTAACTGCTTCTGTTTAAGAAACTTTACTTTGAACTTTTGTACGTTGTACCTGAGTTTCCCTCCTCATCACCAGGTAACCTGCATAAGCTACACTATGTCCCCCCCCCCCCCCCCCCCCCCCCCACCCACCCACCCCCCCCCACACACACACACTTTGGTTTTGTTCTATTTCTGCGTTCCTCAAAGCTATGTTCTTCTCCACATCATGGGCATCTCTTCCGTCCTTTACACACATTTGCCATATGTCCAAATCTCTGACAGTTGAAGCATCTAATCGGTTTCAGAATGTACTCCCTCACTGTGTATGACATGCAGCCTAAAAACACTCTAGATGGTAGAACATCACCCTGAAATGCTATCAGCACTGAATCCTTTTCTTTCTTTGATCCATCTTGAAATTCTGTAAATCTTTTAGCATCTTTCACTTTTGCTCCTGTTAAATTGGTTTTTATTTCCCCAACTGAAACATCCACCGGTATTCCCCAAATCACTCCTCTTGGTCCCGTTCCACTCATTCCCACCTTACTCACACTGATTACTTTGTTTTCCCACCTCTTATTTCACAGGCCTTCTCTCTCTGATCTTCAGTTTTACAATCAGCAAATTTCCATCTCTCAAAACTTAAGCTAGTTTTATGTCTCCAACTTGATTTTTTAAGATAAGACGTTAGCTTAACTGGGTTCACTGTGTTCACTCCATTTCCCTCACTGAATCTCAATATGATTTTGAACCCTCCTTCTCCTTAATCTGCACTTTCACTCGACACAACCCTTCTTTGCTTCCTAGTACTATCGTCATCAGGGTTGTTACTTCTCTTTCCCTTCGACTCCCGCCGAAAACTCAACTCTAAATTACTGTCTTCGCTCTCACAGTCCCCCATGTCTCCCCACCCCTTCTCATTAACCAAACAGCCTACCCACCATTGTTTTCCTTACAACCAAGGTCTTCGCTCTCTTTGGGCAGTGGCTTCTGTAGCTCATCCACCTCTAGAGCCACCGAAAAGCGCCTGCAGAACCCGGTCAGCCTCCGCCAGTCTGACCTCAGTAAAAGTCTGTCTGCGCACTGTAAAATTCATCCCTCGATTCAAAATCTCCACCGACCGAGAGAAATCTCCTTCCAGGAGGAGGGTATCACTGCAGACCCGGAGACCGCAAGCCTCCCAGACTGCTGAAGGCATAGCATTTTTATCCCAGGTGTTAGTCTTCAGGATGATTCAGCTCAGCTGTGCTCCTCAGCAGCCTGGAAGAGAGGAGGAGGAGGGGCGGTGTCGGGCTGATCACCAGGGCTGGGTGATCCTGGCTCCTACATCCCAATGGCCAAGCTGGCAGCCGTAACAGAGTGCCTACCCATTGTTCAATGACATCAAAATCTGTTTGTGTGACATCTTCTAGCCACAAATGTTGTAAATAAGACTAATGCATCAGTATTTTTCTCTTTTAAAGGGGACATGTTATGACATGCTTTCACTAGAAAACAGGTAACCAGGGATTTAATTAAAATTGTGCCCACATTTTTAAGTTAACACACATCTCTTTTAGCAACGGTAGTTTCTGCATCTTTACTGTTCCCCTGCTTCAGCCACAAGCCTGAAGGAGTTCTACTAATTGGTGGAGTTGCTATTAGTAATGGTTAGCTAAGTTGAAACTTTCTCCGCTGTTTCCTGGACACCAAACCAACAACAGCCTTCCCCATCTTAGATCGAGATGGGTGAGTCCATGAATGTTAGGTGACAATGTGACATAGATCTGTCAGGATTTTCAAATCCTAGAGTTTCACCATCTAATCTCTGTCTAACGCTAATGCAGGAAACAGGTGGGACACAATTTTCACGTTCAGCCTGCATGTTAAACTCAGGTCAAGGTCAAACTCAGAGTGACCAGTCAAAAAGAATAAAAGTTTAAATGGTTTCTCAGTGAAGGACCTCTTTAAAAAATAAGCTGTTGCTGGCCATGCCCATCCATCCCCTGATTGGCTGCTATAAGCTGAGAAGCTTGGATATCCGAGGGCTTGGAGTGGAGCATGTGATAAGTTTTTTTCTATTCTACTTTCCCAGTTTGTGACATCACAAACGGGGACTGTTTGAAACAGCTTGTTTTAGGCACATAATTCATAAAACCAAACATTGACAGAAAATGGATGGATGGGTTTTGCCTTGTTTGGAGAGTTTATAAAGGCAGTAGAGACGCACATGGGAGCACAAAAGGATATGTCCCCTTTAATGCATGGACTGAAGGGATTTAAGTCAGGGTCATCACATCTGCATCAACAAAATATTTCTGATCATTAGAATCTTTAATGAACTTGCCATAAAACGCCTCCTGAGGATGTGGGATGTTTTGGAATGCAGCTGTTTCTGCACGTTTCTGTTTACCACCTAAAGTCAAACACTGAAGCTAAACAGCCATAAGTGACTTAGATTAAACATGTGCTTTATAACTTTTAAAATGTACTTTTTGCAGCTAATCTATATATAGTTCTCCTGTGGCATCAAGATCCATGTTAGTAACTATCTTACAAACATTGGTGGTTATTTATGTTTGTTGCTGGTTTTAGCACCCAAAGGGCTCAGCTCAGCCCTCTGAGCTGGCTATTAGGCATTGTGCTATACAGGTTTCATTTGTTTTGTACAGTGTATGAAAAATCTGTTTGCTCAGTGGAAAATACTCAAATGTATTCCTAGTTGCAGTAGTTTGAAGCTTTGTCTGCAAGTATTTTTGCATTTAAGCCTGACTTTGTATAAACATCACTGTTGACTAGATTTGTACTTGAATTCAGTTTTATGTTTATGTTTTATGTATTTAGCAGACACTTTTGTCCAAAGTGACTTACAAGTGATAATCGGCATGTTGCCCTTGAGGCTAACAACAACAATAAAATAAAAACCAATTTCCAGTCAGTCGTTAGGTGGCAGTGAGGCAGCATGATGAATCATGGAGAGGAGGGAACAAGGAGTGGACAGTAGAGAGGGGGACGGGTGCAGGGAGGGTACTAATTTAGAAGATGCTCTCTGAAGAGTTTTATGTGCACTTGAATGTGCTATAAAATAAATTATAACTGTTTCAAGGTGTGAAATAAATTTTACTCTTGAATGCATTCCGTGAAAACTAATGAAGGAAAGCTGATTTATTTATTTTTTATTATGGAATTAATCCATCCTGTTTCACCCTCCTCTAAATATTTCACTTGACTCATACTGCAAACAAAAATCTTAAATCTTTATACATTTTTACCTCACGGGCTTTTACCACAATAAAAAAGCATATTTTTTAATTTTAACCTATTTATAAAAGGTCAAATCATTGCTTTCTCTTTATTTCTCTGGTTGCAGCATATTTTTTAATCTTCTTAAGAATAAGAATAAGAATAAGAATAAGAACAACTTTATTTATCCCGAGGGAAATTCTTGTGTCATGTACATGCTCAAAGCAGTTGGAGAGACAAAGGAACAGGTGAAATAGAAATATGATATACAATATATTCATAAAAAAAAAAATAATAATAATTAATTAAATACATGACTGCATCCTTGTGGATAAGTAATTAAGCCGTCGGTGCAGGCGATTCACAAAAGTGATTAAAGTATTGTGTAAAAGAATATGGGTTTGTAGCAGCATATGATATGATGGGGGGATAAAAACATATTTACAATCAGAACTCTTGGGTAATATTGCACAGTCGGTGAGGGCACAGAATAACCAAGGTAATAGTATTTGGAGAATCACCTACAGCGTGAGGAAGAGTTAAACAGTCCTATTGCCACCGGTACGAAGGATTTCCTGTGGCGGTCAGTTCTGCATTTCGGGGCAATGAGTCTTTTGCTGCGTGTGCTTCGGTGGTCCATCATGTGGGCGTGCATGGGGTGGGAGGGGTTGTCCATGATAGAGAGAAGCTTTTTTAGCATTCTCCTCTCAGACACCTCCTCCAGGTTCTCCAGTCTAACACCCAGGACAGACCCAGCCCTTCTAATCAGCTTGTTCAGCCGGTTGGCATCTGCTATCTTCACCCCACTGCCCCAGCACACAGCTGCAAAGAACACAACGCTCTCCAACACCGAGTGGTAGAACATGGTCAGCATTTTCCTCCCAGCATTGAAGGACCCGAGCCGCCTCAGTAGGAAAAGCCGACTCTGCCCTTTTTTGAAGATGGCATTGGTGTTCTTAGACCAGTCCAGTTTACAGTCCAAGTGTACACCCAGGTACCGGTAGTTCTCAACGATCTCAACGTCAGCCCCTCTTATGGAGACAGGAGTAGGAGGTGGGGCCTGCTTCCTAAAGTCCATAATCAGTTCCTTAGTCTTTGTGATGTTAAGTTGTAGGTTGTTTCGCTCACACCACTCCACAAAGCTGTCCACCACACTCCTGTACTCCACCTCCTGACCATCCCTGATACAGCCCACGATGGCAGTCATCAGAGAATTTCTGCAGATGGCAAGACTGAGACTTGTACATGAAGTCAGATGTGTAAAGGGTGAAGAGGAAGGGTGATAGGACTGTCCCCTGCGGCGCCCCTTTGCTGCTCAGGATGTTATCTGAGCGGCAGCTCATCAGTCGGACATGCTGTGGTCTATTTGTTAAATAGTCCGTAATCCAACCTACAAGTGGGGCGTCCACCTGCATTTCTGTGAGCTTGTTCCCCAGCAGTGATGGTCTGATTGTGTTAAAGGCACTAGAGAAGTCGAAAAACATGACCCTCACAGTGCTCCCAGCAATGTCTAGATGAGAATATGCCCGGTCCAGCAGGTAGATGAGGGCATCCTCCACACCGATACGAGGTTGATAAGCAAACTACAGGGGATCCAGCCAAGGCTCCACCAGCAGCCGCAGATGTTTTAGGACTTAGCATTTTAATTAGTTATTATTTAAAGTATGACTGTGTGAAAACTACTTAACAACCAAAATATTAGTTTCCCTGTTGCACCTTTGATGCTGCAATAAGTCTGGTCTTAATTCTAAGCTTAGATTTGATTTTATACTTTCAGCTACTGTTTCTGGCCATACACTACAAAAAAGGGTTGGTCAAAAAAAGGAGACATTGTGTAATTTAAATACATGTTCATTGTCCATGTAGGTTTTATTACATAAAGTCAATGAAAGATCCACTTTTAAGGTAACTTCATGTTC